GACGCAGAGCAGGGAACAGGCCATCGAGCCATTCCGCATCGCAGGTTAGACTAGGGCTGGACTCGGTGGGCAAAGGGCGGTTTGGCTTGGGACGACGGGCGGTCTGGCTTGGGGGAATCTCTGACCACCAAAGCTATCCCCAGAGTTCGACTGGCCACGACGAGGGAATGGGCTCGATGGGCAGAGTTCCCCGGGGAGGACAGAGTACACGTGCTGCCTTATGGGGACAGCCTGCCCTCGGCCTACGAGTTCGACCTCTTCCGCGACTTCCTGAGGCCGTTCTTCCAGTCCCACCCATCATAGGCTCAAATGCCTGCCGCCCCCTTTCAGCCACGCGCAGAGGGGGGTGGGGGGAGGGGGGAGGGCTTCTGAGAAGCACCCCTGCTTCTTAGAAGGCGCGGGCCTTCTGTATAGAAGTAAGGCCGGCGCCGTCTAAAAAGCAGCCTCCTCCTAAGAAGCCCTCCCCCTCCCTCCACCCCCTTGTGCGCGCCGCCAGCCCTTGGGGGGGCCACCCTCTTCTCCTTGGCTCCTCGTCGCTCCGTGCGTCGAGGCCTCCCAGGTGGGGCCCGAGCAGGACGGGGTCGGAGGATCGCGCCGCATCGCCGATGCATCGCCGATGCGGCTTGATGTGGAGCCCGAGTTGCTTCACGTTGACGTCGCCGATGCATCGCCGACGTCGACGATGCATCGCAGGTGCATCACCGATGCATCGCCGATGCATCGCCGATGCATCCGCGATGCGGCGCGATCCTCCGACCCCATGTACTCCGACCCCGTCTAGAAGGCCTGTAGTGCGGGAGCCGACGGTGAGCAGCGGGGAGCGGAAAGGGCAGGCAACCGCATGCGGGCGGGGCAGGCATCCGGGCCTATGAGCGCATTCGAAATCTTCCGGCGGGGCGACGTGTTCACATACCAGGGGGTGCGTTTCCGAGTGATGGCCACGGACCCTGCAGCCGCGGCCGCCCGCGTCGGCAACCAGACCATGGTGTTCTGCGAGGGCGACCCGTTGCGACCGACCCTCTTGGAGCAGATGCCCGCGGAGGTCCAGGAGCGGCGAGGCAGAGCAGGAGCAGGACGAGGAGGGACGACCGAGTCCAGGAGGAGGCGAGGGTTAGGAGGGGGACGAGGGGGAGGAGAGGAGGAGGAGGAGGAGGAGGAGGAGGAGCAGGAGCAGGAGCAGGAGCAGGAGCAGGAGCAGGAGCAGGAGCAGGAGCAGGAGCAGGAGCAGGAGGAGGAGCAGGAGCAGGAGCAGGAGCAGGAGCAGGAGCAGGAGCAGCAGGAGCACGAGCAGGAGCAGGAGCAGGACGAGGAGAAGGACGAGGAGAAGGAGGAGGAGGATCAGGAGGAGGAAAAGGGACAGCAGCGCCCAGGATGGACACCGAGGCTGACAGGGACAGCGACAGGAGGAGCAGCAGGATGAGGAGAACAGGAACAGGATGATGAGGCGGTCCACTGTTCTGGAACCAGGCTTGAGTGGGCCCAGGACTGGGGGAGACTCCAATGATAGGGTCCAGGACCGCCCAGTGGCGATGCCACGCGTATCGCCGCCAGCGTGCTGTGGGTGAGGGCGCCGGCGGGGGAGGGGCGCGGGGGCTCTGGCGGGGCCGCGTGCCGCCCCACCACCGAACCAGAAGGCCACCGGCGCAGGAGCTTGGAGCAAGTTTTCGATGCAGGGCCGCCTCCTAAGCGGCGGGGAGGCTTGCTTCCCGTTTCTCGGGTGGCACGGGGGGATAGCGTCAGGGGGAGTGCGCAGGGGAGGAACAAAAAAAAAGAGAGGTGGGCCCGGCATCCCTTCTCGTTGCAGCACAGCGCGGCGGCGGGTATAGGGGGGGGGGAGGATGCCAGAGGGAGGAGGAGCAGGAGGAGGAGGGAGGAGGAGGAGGAGGAGGAGGGAGGAGGAAGAGGAGGAGGAGGAGGGGAGGGGGGGAGGGGGGAGGGGGAGGAGGAGGGAGGGAGGGAGGAGGAGGAGGAGGTGGAGGAGGAGGAGAAGGAAGAGGCAGAGGAAGAGGAATAATAATAGTAATAATAAGAAGAAGACGAAGACGAAAACGAATAATAATAATAATAATAATAATAATAATAATAGTAATACAAATAATAATAATACTAATACTAATAATAATACTGATACAAATTATACTAATAATAATAATAATACTAATAATAATAACAACAACAATAATAATAATGATAATAATAATACTATTAATATCAATAGTAATATTATTATTAATAATGCTAATAATCATAATACTATTAATACGAAACGTAATAAGATCAGCATCACTAGTAATACTAATAATAATAGGAATAATAATAATATGAATGATGATAACACTATTAATAATAAGAAGAAAACGACGAAGACGAAGAAGAAGCAGAAGGGAGGAGTAGGAGGACGAGGACGAGGGAGGAGGACGAGGAAGAGGAGGAGGAGGAGGAGGAGGAGGAGGAGCAGGAGGAGGAGGAGGAGGGGAGCGCTCCAAACGAGCCCGACCTCCCTCCTCTCCTAGTCACTCCACTACTCCACCCACGGCGCCGAGGAAGCTATAATAAGTGAGCTGTGTGGGGCCATCTCGCTTGTGGTTGGCTCACCAGTACGCTACTCATGGCGAGGGAAAGGTGATGTTGAATGGGCAGCAGCAGGGGGAGGAGGAGGAGGAGGGAGGAGGAGGGAGGAGGAGGAGGAGGAGGAGGGAGGAGGAGGAGGAGGAGGGGGGGAGGGGGAGGGGGAGGGGGGGGGGAGGGGAAGGGGGAGGGGGGAGGGGGAGGGGGAGGAGGAGGATGGAGGAGGAGGAGGAGGAGGAAGAAGAGGAAGAGGAGGAAGAAGAGGAATCATAATAATACTAAGAAGAAGAAGAAGACGAATACGAATACGAATACTAGTAATAAGAAGAAGCAGAAGAAGACGAAGACGACGAAGACGAAGGAGAAGAAGAATAATAAGAAACATAAGGGAGGAGGAGGACGAGGACGAGGACGAGGAGGACGAGGAGGACGATGAGAACGATCAGGACGAGGAGGAGGAGGAGGAGCAGGAGGAGGAGGAGGAGGAGGGGAGCGCTCCAAACGAGCCCGACCTCCCTCCTCTCCTTGTCCCTCCACTACTCCACCCACGGCGCCGAGTTAGCTATAATAAGTGAGCTGTGTGGGGCCATCTTGCTTGTGGTTGGCTCACCAGTACGCTACTCATGGCGAGGGAAAGGTGATGTTTAATGGGCAGCAGCAGGGGGAGGAGGAGGAGGAGGAGGAGGAGGAGGAGCAGGAGGAGGAGGAGCAATGGTGTCTGGCGCTGGGGTGATGGGTACCCGAGCCGAACGAGACCGATCCGTGCCTCTACTGCCTCCTGCCGGTCTGGCGGGGAGGAGCCTCCTACGAGGCGCAGCACCCGAACGAAGCTCCCCGCCTCCCCCTCCCCCCCCCGTGAGGAGGAGGAGGAGGAGGACGAGGAGGAGGAGGAGGAGGGGAGGAGGAGGAGGAGGGAGGAGGAGGAGAGAGGAGGAGGAGGAGGAGGAGGAAGAGGGAGGACGGAGGAGGGAGCAGGAGGAGGAGGAGGAGGACGAGGGAGAGGGAGAGGAGGAGGAGGGAGGAGGAGGAGGGAGAGGAGGAGGAGGAGGACTAGGAGGAGGAGGAGGAGGAGGAGGAGGGCCCAGAACTCCGACGTCGCGATTCGTCTCGCAACCTGGACTTGGTAGGCCTCGGCCCCCTCATGCTGGGTCGTTTCCGGCCCCTCCCTCCGCCCCTCTCTTCCCACAGCCTCCTCTTCGACGTCCCCCCCCTCCCCGCCTCCCCTCAAGGTCCTCCTCCTCATCGTCCTTGTTTCCTCCTCCTCCTCTCCACCAATGTCTCCCTCCCTCCTCATCTCCTCGCCTCTTCCTCCCCCTCCTTCTCGGTTGTCCGGTCGGTCGGTCAACGGTCAATCTTGTAAGGGCCAGAAGGGAGTCCGCCACCCATATCAGCATTTGGGCAAGGTCGCCAGACGCGTCAGCACAGACGGCGGTGGCGGCCCAGGGATCACGAGAGCAGAGGCACAGGGCTTAAGCACCGTGGGGGGGGGAGGGGACCAAATCAAGCCAACATGGCGCCGCATGTAGCTCCAAGAGCCTCCCTGGGGCACAGCAGGCAAATGTCCCAGGAAGTCTTCTCTTCCTGGTGGCGCTCCGCACTGGGCGCGCCCCCTGGCGAGCCTGCGTTGGCTCGTCGGGAGGGGCGAGCATGACAGAAGAGCAGGACTCTGAAGCTCCGTGTAGCAGGAGCGAGGTGATCGGCAAACCTAGCGGGGTGATCGCAATCACGGATGCAAGTTTGGCAAACAGTGCCCACTGCAATATCATATGGTGCGTGGTCGCTCTGACGCTCTTTCGAGAGGGGACTTCTCAACAGCCTTGTGTCGCGAGCCACAGATAGGCAATCTATGCATTCAAATCAAAGCCTTTGGGAGCGCGTAGAGGGGACGAGGCGCGAGATGTGCCGGATACACATCCCTTGGGGCGCCGTTCAGATAAGGTCTGGGCACTTCACCACTAGAGTAGCCGTAATTCGTGGCATGGAGCTTGTCGGGCGATGGTCAACAACCCGATAGAAAGATCAACGGTCGTGGAAATTACCGGCGTAGATTCGTGCTTAACTGCCTTGATTGACCTTTCCGAAAAAAAATAATAGGATCTCCCCCCCGGGTCAACGGCACATCTTTTCGCATTGCAAATTGCTCGGACCCATCGTCCATCCGAAAAATGAGTTCGCACCATCCCAGGCAGGCCGGAGTTCGTACCCCCCCCCGTATCTTCTGAAAGAAATATTCTGCTCGCGCACTCGTTCATCAAAACCAACAGTTTCAATACTCCCTTGCAAAAGGGAAGCGAAGTGCACGCGCGCGCGTCGTCGTGCGCGCATGCCGAATTCCTTCAACAACCTCCGGTTTCTGAAGATACCAAAATCGAGTATCACGAAAACAAATGAACCACACATGGTTCCGCAACAAGGATATTCCAAAAAACATGCGCTCGCGCTCTTGCAGTTGTTCATACTGTGTTATAGATATACAACTTAGAAGAACACTTCCAGATCGGCCTCCCGTGCGCGCATGTCGAAATCGTTGGGCCGCCCTTGCGCGCGCGCTGTGGCAACACTCCCTTGCAACGCCGGGGGCGAAGTGCACGCTCGCGCGTCGTCGCGCGGGCACACCGAAATCCGTCCAAAACCTTCGGCGCCGCTAGGATTTCAAAATCAAACGTCCTGGAAACATATAGAAACACATGGCGTTGCAGCATTCGTGTTCGAAAACTCCTGCGCTCAAGCTCGCGCGGATTCTTCAGACAACCCTGGTTTTCAAACATGTGCATTCCATTCGGCCGAACGGGCCATTCGCGCCGCATGACAAACTCATTCGAACGCCTTTGCGCGCGTGCCAGGGGAGATCATTCGAACGTCCTTGCGCGCGCGCCAGGGGGGCGGGGGGGGGGGGGCGCGACCCCAGTCAATTAACACCGCGCGGCCCGCTCGCGCGCGTCGGCCGCGCGCGCTGTCGAATTCTTTCCAAGACCTTCATCGCCGACGCGAGGGCGCCGTCATCGTCGTCGGCGTGATCGGCATCGGTGCCGTCGCTGGCCTTGCCGTTGTCGTTGTCATCATCGTCTCCGCCATTGCTCGCTAATGTCACCATCATCGCGTCTATCGTTGTCGACGTCGCCACGGTGCCGCGCCCGCCCAATTCGCCGATTCGCACAGACGTGCCCCCTGGGAAGTGGCCTGCGGCCAGCGCCACCACGGCCGCGTCGGTCGCGCCAAACTCGCTGGCCGCTGCGCTCGCGGGCTAGCGCGGCCGCAGAAATGCGCCAGCCAAGGCCGAGCACTCCTCGCAATCGCGCCGCAACTTGGTTTTGCAAACCAAGTTGCGGGTGGGCGGACGGAGTGTTTGCAACGGTACGGATGTTGTCAACCGATGTGTAAAAACCAACCACATTACATAAGTCACAATAGATCTCAACCACACTCTCCGAACGATCTCCCACGGCACGCACCGCGGCAATGCGTAGCGCAGTTTTTTCTTCACAGACCGCAGGAGTGCCTCTGGTCGGGGCGCGCAGGGGGCATTTTTCACAACCTCCCCTTAGCCCACCCAGTGCAGGGGCATCTCCGGACCACTTTCCCGTTCATCAGCGCGGCCTTGTTCGCCGCGTCATCCTGTCTTGCCCCCAGCGTTCATCCGCGCGGAAAGGGGTGCTCGCCGAGAGGTGCAATGGCCATGCGCTCGCATATTTCACCTTCTCATCGGGCAGGTCCTGCGCGGGCTCAAACATGCCAAGGGAGGCAGAAGCCACCGTGGTCAGCTGACGCTCCGACGCGCCCCGTGCGAGTTCACGAAGCGGTGCCTGGCTTGAAGGCCGTCAGTGCCTGACCGCGGGGTCGTCGCATGATTCGGCATGGCCGCGGGCCCCCTTGCGAGGCTCCGCGGGTCCACGGGGGGCGCGACATGATCGAACCATATGGAGTGATCATCTGCGCGCCGCAGGAGAGGGGGGCTTCTGCGCTGCCGCCGCCTCGCCCCGTCGAATTATGGGATGGCGTGGGCGCGAGGGCCGAAATCGGGCATGGGTTTCGCCATCTCCAAGGTCCGGAGCCACATGCCCCCGGAACCGAAAAAGACATTCGCGCGGCACTCGAAGGCCCCCCACGCCCGAGACGACGAGTAGGGAACGCTCGGGCGCAGCGAGAGACCCAGGGCACAGAAGGGTAACGTGCGCTTTCGAGTATTCAACGGGCCTTGCGCTGCTGCCTCGTCGCGGCTCTCGTCGGCAGGCCCCGCAGGCCCCGCCGCGGCGGCGCGCGAGCCCCGCCCGTGCGCCTCGCAACCGCGCCGGGCGCGCGGCCGCGCTCCAGGCGCGCGGCGTTCCCCCCGCGGACTGCACGCCCGACGCCCCGCTGCGCTCGGCTTCCCAGTTCAGCGCCGCAGCTAGCCCTTCGCCCCCAGCGTTCGGTCCTTGGCGAGCAGGTGGCCCCGGAGAAGCAGCAGCCGGGCCCTGCGCCCTGGAAGACCAACGCTGCGCAGCCATGGCTGCCCTTCGCGAGACCCCGCCCGCGCCCAGTCCACTTCGTCTTGTTCTGGGTGCCGCCCCCGCCTTTTTTTTTTTTTTTTCTCTCTCTCTCTCTCTCTCTTCTCTCTCTCTCTCTCTCTCTCTCTCTCTCTCTCTCTCTCTCTCTCTCTTTTTAGTTTTTTTTCTTTCTCTCTCTCTCTCTCTCTCTCTCTCTCTCTCTCTCTCTATATATATATATATATTCTTTCTTTCTTTCTCTCTCTCTCTCTCTCTCTTTCTGTCTTTTTCTGTTTCCCGCTCCCTCTCCCTTTCCCTCTCTCTCTCACTCTCTCTCTCTCTCTCTCCCTCTCTCTCGCTCTCTTCTCTCTCTCTCTCTCTCTCGTCTCTCTCTCTCTCTTTCTCTCTCTGTTTTTCTCTCTCTGTCTCTCTGTCCTCTCCTTGCTCTCGCTCTCTCTCCTCTCTCTCTCTCTCTCTCTCTCCCTTTCTATTTCTTCTTTCTCTCTCTCTCTCTCTCTCTCTCTCTCTCTCGCTCTCTCTCTCTCTCTCTCTCTCTGTTTTATCTCTCTCTGTCTCTCTGTCTCTCCCTTTCTCTCTCTCTCTCTCTCTCTCTCTCTCTCTCTCTCTCTCTAGATCCCTCTCTTTCTCTATATGTTTTATTTTCTGGGCCGTCTTCCGCGGCCACTTTGGCCCGAGGTTTTGCGCTTCCCTGCGGAGCGAGCGGGCGCCGCCAGTCCGCGGCCGGCCCTCTTGCCAGTGCAGCGCGGGCCCCCCGGCGGCCCGACGCCCCCCTATGCCCGCGCCGGGGGCCGTGCCCGCGGTCAATGGTCTTCGCGCGCCGCCGCCGTCGTCGGGCACCGACCGGCGTCGGGCGCGGACCCGGCCGCGGCTGCGCCGCTGGCGCGCGCGCCCACGGACGGGCGAATTACCAGTGGCGGAATAGAGGCGACTGCGCGCTCTGCGCATCACGCAGCGCGGCCAAGGGCAGCGCCGTCGGAGGGGGCGAGCCCCTGCGGGGCGCGCCCGGCGCCTGCTCGGCGGCGGCAGAGGGGGGGGCAGGCTCGCGCCGATGCCGCCGTCGGCAAGAAGCGCGCCCTGGTCCGCGCCAGGGACCAAGAGATCGCAAAGCTCAAGGGGCACGTTGGAGGTTCGGGGGGCGAGAAGACCCATCCCCGAGCGCCGGCTGCCCCAGCCGACACGAAACATGTTCTGTCCGGGGACGTCGTCGATCACCTCGAGCAGCTGAGCAACTGCAGCGAGGCACCCGCGGCGGCGTTCAAACTGTCCTTGGCGCGGGAGCGGGGCAGCGTGCGCGGGCAGCTGGCGGCGGGCCTGCAAGCTGCGCCCAGCCTAGGCGCACCAGCTCACGTCGCGGATCGGTGGCTTGGCCAATCAGCGCCCATGCCGCGAGGCGAAGCTGGCCGACCTCGAGCAGAAGAATGTTGAGATTGAGGATCAGATTGCCAACGAGCGCAAGGACATTGCGCAGCTGGGGGCCGACATCTCGGCGCTGGAGCAGTTGCGCTGGCAGGGCGCAGCTCCGGTGCCGCAGCCCGCATCTGGCCCGATCTCGCTCAAGGCCGCGGTGCCCGCGCTGGACCTGCCTATCGACAGGCTTGTGGAGTTGCTCAAGTAAGCGTGCGCGGACGACGCCCTCGCCGCAACCGTCGCGGGCTTCTTCGATGCGCCCAGGAAGTTGCAGGCGCGGGCGGGGGCCAACGCCGGCATAATTTCAAATAGCAAACGAACCATATCAGCGAGTCACTCGACAGGCCACCGGCAGCGCAGGTAGTCCCGGTGGGCGAGGCCGCCCAATCCAACGCGGAGGCCACGCCAGTCCCCATGGACACAGACGACGCGGAAGAGTTGCGACAGTGGCATCGCGATGCCAGTGGCGAGCCACCAGAGGAAACCGATCTTGTGCGAGAGGCAGCCAAGCGCTACGCCGAGGCTGCCGACGAGCGCGCCATTCGCAGGCGCACCGCAGGTGCAGGATCTGGGCAGTGAGGCGCGTTGGGCCTACTTCTGCCTGGAGATGCGCTCGCAATGCCGACCCCCGCGCGGGGCCCGACGTGGCTGGCGAACATATGCGGTCAGGATATGCGAATTTGGGTCACCTCGCAGAGTTGGAGGGCAACGCTCCGCCATCGAGGGCGGCGCGCGCATGCCTGGCGGCAGGGCTGGCCATCAGGTCGGCAAATGTCATCGCAGCGAGCGCAGCGGGCGCCGCGCCATGTGCGTCGCCGACTTTAGTCGCGAGGGCATGTCTGGCAGCCCCGATAACCTGTCGCGCGAGGCGACGGGCGTGGGGCTGGCACTTTGCACTCGCATATGTTTGTTATTCGGTGCGTTTTTCGGCGACGTCGGCGACGCAGCAAGTGGCCCCAGCTGCGCAATGGAGCTCGGGCCCCGGGCTGACATTGGGAAGCGAGACGCAGCGTGCCGACGTTTATCGTCACGGCACGTGTGCTTCTAGAATGATTCGAGATGGGTTGGAGCTCGTCGTGTATTTCCTGCATGCAAGAGCCTCGCGCGGAGGCGCGCGTCGCGACTAGCAGAGATCCAGCACGAAGCAGCTCGGGCAGTTTTTTTTGTTTCCGGCGTTTTGGCATCGGCGCCGCAGTCGGACATTGAAGGTGCTTTGGGAGGACTGGCAATGCCAGCATCATCCAGAATAGAGGTCGCACTGGCGCCAGGGAGTGAGGGGCCTGAGCTTGCCCCCAGGCGCGCCTGGGCAGCTCGCGTGCACATGGGGCCCGAATGTGGAACAAATGAGTTGTCCATATTTGCGCGTTAGCGAATTGCCTCCTGGAAAGACTGCGGAGATTCTCAGAGAGGCGGCGAACTACGTCTGCGCCCTCAGCGCCGCGCGGCAGCAATGGGTCATCGCTGGGAATTGGGGCGCGGGTGCGAGCGAGTTCAAGACATAAGTCAACTCATTGGTTGGCGCCCTGGCGTGCCCAGGCTGCCCCGCGCGTCTGCTGTCGAAGCCGGGCCCCGCGCTGGGCCACATGCGCGCGTGAGCGGGGCTTGGCCTCGCAGTGGGTACTTGCGCGCCGCAGGAGGCTGCAAACCTTTCTGCTCGCCCGCCCGCGCGCGCCCGCCGAGGCGCCAGGGCGAGCGCGAGACGTGGGCGCGGGCCCCTGCGCAGCCCGCCCCCGCGGACGTAACCCCACGACCAGGAAGAGCCGGGCGTTCGCCGAGCCCGGCCTGGGGCGCGGCCAGGAGGATGATCTAGGAGGCAATGGACAGTGCAATTCTGCGCGCACGCCTGGGGCGCGGCCACAGTGCATCTTTAGAGTGAAAGTTGAACGGGCACGGCGCGACAGGGGAGGGCGCGCCAGATGCCGAGGGCGCGCAGGACATCCCGAATGGGAATTGCAGGAGGGTGCGGCCCCCGAGGAGAAACCACGTCACGTACTCAGGCATGCAAGTTGCTTGGGAGATGGCTTAGGCACACGGTGCCAACGAAGGCGAAGGTGATTTTTCGCGTGGAGCGAGTGGCAGAAGAGGCCGATATTGATCTTCCAGGAAGTTTCCCAATCGCACGCTGCCTGCTAGCTTGCCGTCCGACGTCGCGTCGGGCGAGTGGGCGCGCGCGCCGTCTACTTCTCGCGCGCGTAAGCAGGATTGGGCGCTTTGCGTTGGTCTGACTAGTGTTGCCAAAGAGACGATATGATGTGCAAGGCTGGCGCGGTGCCTTCATGGCGTCTTCCAACGTGCGTCTGCAAAGAAATGGAGCAAGGCGCACCTTGGCGACGCCGAGCTGCATGTGGTTTCAGATTTGCACGCGCTCCTCTGCAAGGGGGGTGTCTTGGGCGACGCTCAGAGCACGCTGGATACTTGCGAGCGTGATATTGTGGCGATTGGGCATACCAGCGCTGCTGAGCGGCCGGGTTGGGCCAAGAAGCCGTTCGAGGGAGGAGCGAAACAGGCGCGCCGCTTCAAGGAGGTTCGGGACCTGCAGGCGTTGGCCATGTGCGCCCAGCATCAGCAGCCAAGGGAAAGCCAGATGCTCGCGTGGATACATCGGCTCAGCTTTCGGCATGGCATCACGCCGGACCGCTACAGCTGCCTCTTGGCTTTCGACAAACGGGCGGAGTTGTCAGAGCTTTTACTGCAGGATTTGAGAATAGCATTGCGCCAGTTCCTTATGGGCACGGCACTTGGCCATGTGAGCGCGCATCTGGGAGGCCATGCCATGGGCCACCTGGGTCGACTCGTTTTTTCATTAACAAAAACAATTTGCAATCAGAGGTTGCACAGGCTCAGGTCAAGGCATCACGATAGCTAGGCACGCGGCACGCGCGTTGGCATGGCGCGCACGTTCGGATGCCCAACGGGGCTGATTTGGTTAGTGCCGGCAAGCTGCCAAGCCCCAGGAGTTGTGCGAGCGCGGGGTTCACTGTCGGATTCGTTGCGCCACCTTCTCAGGCAGCTTGACAGGCTGCTCGCGTGCGTCGAAGATGGCCCATTTACCTTCACATCGGGCACTCTGGCAGCTAGAACGTCGATGCGCTCCTGCCATGCGGAGAACTCGACTGGACGATGTAGGTTGCCAGTGCTTTCTGTTGGTGGGCGAGGGAAACGTCGCAGGTGCGGTGCGAGGCTGTGTGGTTCACGCTGCAGGCGTTCTGGCTGGGGCCCGTCATGCAAGCTTCAAAGCGGGGCTGCGTTGCGACGTGCCCTGTCAGCGGGCATGTGGTCGGCATGGCGAGGAGGATGAAGACGAACGCGCGCGCGTGCAATCTTGGTTAGCGGCGGAAGAGCCAGGCGCTTTGCAGAACGAAGGCGGGCGTCAAGGCCCATGGTCAGGAGAGCAAGGCTGCGAGCACGCGCGCGAGGAGCTCCACGTCTGGCGAGGCCACTATGGCGCGCAGGCTTGCCCCCTGCTGCTGCGCATGGCCCTGGGGCCAGCGGCGCCGCCGGCGCGACCCTCAACATTTTAAGGAGTGCCGCGGGCATCTTCGCAGAAGCCTTGCCGCGCGTTTCGGTCACAGCGTGGTCGCGCATGCAAGCTGTCTTATGCTACGACCATAATATTCGACGTGACGGCGCCGATTGTTCCGAGGTGCGCTGCCGCTGGCTGGGGGTACTAGGTACTTGCATCGACGATGCACAGCGCGCGCATGGCACTGGTCAGCAAGTTTGGGGGAAACCAACCTGGGCGAAGGGTCGGGGACCAATGGCTGTAGTTGGCCTGTCCGTTCTGAAAGTAGGATGGGGGCAAGCGGCCGCGCGCGTGATGATCGATGCTATTGGGTGAAGACTGCGCTGTTTAGCACGCCCCCCATGGTGCTCGAGCAGATGCTGGTGGAGTCGATTGGGAGTTGTCATATCAGACGCAGATCGCCATTTCCCTGATGCGCTCGGACACGGACCGACGTGGAGACGTGGACTACGAGCTGCCATTCTTTCCATGAAGGACACTGCGGTGCGCGGGTGCGCCCCCATCCTGCTGGCGCCAGA